TCTAATCCTCATGTCAATAATTTTGGGTTGCTGTTGGCCACATGTGTTAAAACGGTCCATATATGGATTATAAAGGCATCAAAGATGTTCAGTTCTGACAACAATCTTTTACAATCTGTTACTTCTCTTTTTTGGATAGCACGAATTTTCAAAACAATTCTCTACTTAACGATTTTCTTGATAAGAAGCTTTAAACAAAGAAACACTAGATAACTGCACAGAAGAGAGGGTGGTCAGGACTGTTTAAAAGTTAAAAAGAGCAACAGATCCGAGGGCCGTCGATAAAACCAGGAACATGGAACATTCCGAACATTCCGGAACATCCCGGAACATTGAATAATTATAATAATTATGAAAAACAATATGTGAAATTAAATTTTCAAAACTGTTCATTCAACTGACTACAATGAGTGGAGGCTCCTCTTCTTTCCCGCCAATTGCGTCATGTGGCCTTACAGTAGCCTGTGTACAGCAGCCCCTCCCCTCCAAAAAAAAATTGGTAAATCCTTCACGATTTTTTTTGGAGGGGAGGGGCGACTGTACACAGGCGCGGCTACTTTACATTACTGTTTTTTCCAACACAAACATGGACTGTTGTAATCGGCTCTACGGAATTGTCGGGAACGGTCGAAAATAACAGGAGAAGCGATCATAACGGAACGTTCTTCGATCTTTAATACTCTTCGATGTTTACAGGACATAACGAGCTTGAAGTTATTATCAATAAATCATCAGAGCTCGAGCAGTCCGAACTAGTTTAGACAAGAAACTCAATGCCGAAGAGTTTCCATTTCTATCTCAATGGAGAAGCTATTTCTTTATGAGAAATGGTGTGTACTACGCATATCTTTGAATTGACCTAATGAACTGAATAAAGAAATCACACTCGTGTACCCATATTTTTCGGCCTGATTAAGGAGTTCGAAAGCTACCACCTTGGTTTTCTGTGAAGAACGAAATCTGCGAATAAGGGGCAGTCACTTGATTAAAGTGACGGCGAACGACTGGAGGGAATGGATTACTCTTCTAACTTCCTAGTCTTCACTCATCGCAGTCATTTTCAGTTTTCTTTCTTTTTTCCTTTTTTGTCATATTTTTGTTTTGTTTTTGTTTTCCGGGCTGATACCAGTTTATTTTTGTTTGTTTTAACTTTTAAAAATTTAATTTTACATATTTTTCGCAGTTTTTTCGCATAATTATTCGATATTCCGGAATGTTCCATGTTCCTGGTTTTATCGACGGCCCAGATCCGAGCTGCAGACGCGAGGTAACTTTATACAGAGAGAAACGCCCGTAATCATGCAGTGACATCATCCTGACATCATCCTGACATCATCCTCAACACGACAGCGAAAACATACATTAAGCCGAGAACGAAAAGCTAAACCACAATTTATAATTATTTCCCACAGAAGTTTAATACGGATCCCTTACAATGATCAATCTTGGTACTTATAATACAACAACCTAGACAAAACTGAGAACAACCAAAACGTTTGCTACATCAGTGTTTACATTGTCAGCTCTACACCCTAGTCACTGTATTTCTAAGTTTCCAAATGAACCTTGTTTCTATCGCACCATCACCCAGATTGGTTTGTTCAGATAGCAGTAGCCTGCGATACACTTGGTACCAAGCGCCTTGCTGTCGTCGGAAGCGATGTAGTTGTTTCCTAAACCATCAACACCACTCCACATGTCAAGCCACTTGTCGGTAAGTTCATGAGCCTGTGAAAT